TCCACTGCAGCAGAAAATAAGCAGAAATACGCTCTATCATGAGATCAAGATGTGGGATTAATTTTAACAACATAAATCTTTGTATTTTTTTTCACAGATCTGTGCAAACTTGGATGCTTCCAGAATAATGACAAGGAGCCAAGAGGAATTCAAAAAGGAGCAAAGAAAAATAATTGTTTCTGTTGAAGATAGGAGGGAGGTATGCCTGTTTAACATGGCATGGTTTTGTGCTAAGCTTTTCTTTGACTCTAATTCATATGAGGGACTCCAGCTGATGTTAATGCAGGATTACATGTGTGTGAAACTAAATATCCTTTTTAGGATCCCTTTGGTGATGTAATCAAGAAAATTATGACCGCCATTCACAACCATGCCGAGCTGACCCCCACCTGTGACCTCGGCTCTCAGAATTACGAACAGTGGGTTGTTCAAAAAGAACGACAAGGTGAAAACAGATTTTTACGCTCATCTTTCACTAGTTATCGTTTGTTCAACCTCCCATGGTGTGTAGCGTCTAAAAGTACTTGTCTCGATCCATTTTAGCTGCAAAAGATGAAAATCAGAAAGTACGAGTTTGTGCAGAGCACCTCCGACAGTACAGCGAGAGCCTGAATCTCAGCAACACGATTCGCATGCAAGATGCCTTCAGTTTCCTGAACAAATACTACAACGAGGAGATGAAGAAAAAAACTGCCCCGGAGGAGGAGCATAAGATACAAATCACAGATACTGAGAGGTTCCTCTTCAATCTGTTTGAAGGTATTGTGAAACTAAGCATTCGCCTAAAAATTAAAAGTAGTTGCTGACTTTATAATCTGAGATTTGGAAAATCTTTTTTTTTTTGGTAAATGTGAGGTAAGATATTGTTTGGCTTAGATTAGCTAATAGATGTGAAACTGGGATCTAGCTAAACAAGACTTGTCCACGGAAAATGAGGTCCACCTATGAACATATGCAAATGAAAAACAAAAAGGATTTTGAAGTCTGCAGTGGTTGCCAGCATTCAGAACAAAAAAGACAGAAATTAAGTGTATATAAAAGACAGACACGCAACATCAATGGTCATTAGTCTACCATTTTGAAACACTGAGTTTGGCATCATAGCTGCTGTCATTTGACTTTGGATCCTGATGTGATGATATTTGAACGACAGCGTAAAATACAAAGCTATCAGCTAATGAATGCAAGCTTGGTTAGCAAGATCCATTCAAAGACTGTACAGATATTAGTTAATATGTGCGTGCAAGAATACTGCAATTTAAAACACAAAAACTGATACACAGACTTGTTGAACAGTCTTTTATTATGATTAATACACAGTAAGCTATTATTCAAATTGGCTGTCTGTCTCATGCTCAAGAACTCATCAAAACAATAAACATTTAGTGATTCTTTGCACTTTTGGTGTCTGATTTCCTAATAATGCAGTAAAGTTTAAGCCTTTAAGAACAATATCTAAAAATGAATGTGTCCTTCATCATCAAGGGCAAAGAAGCTGTAGAGACCAAAATTATTTTTGTACTGGCTGTATTACTGCCTATAAAATAAGCAATTTTACTTCTGGAATATGTGGAGATAGCCTTGGAGCTAGCCTAAAAGGGTCCTTTGCAAACCTTCATGGTTTGCCAATTAAGCCAGATTTCTACCAGGCACAACTTAAACAAATTTATAGTCTACCTGTGAATTTTGTGGTAGATTTTAACCCTTCCCACATTTCTGGTCCTGGTCCTGGTCTGTAAAGATGAGCTAACCTGCTTACCGCTATACTTACCAGAAAAACACAGAAGAGTTATAAACCCTCATATTTAATAATAATATAGCACTTTTCGAGACCCTCAAAGCACTTTACAATACCACTATTTATACACTCTCCCATTCACACACTGGTTGTAGCCACAGCTGCCCTGGGGTAGACTGACAGAAGCGAGGCTGCCATATTGCGCCATCGGCCCCTCTGGCCAACACCAGTAGGCAGTAGGTGAAGTGTCTTGCCCAAGGACACAACAACCGAGACTGTCCGAACCGGGGCTCAAACAGGCAACCTTCCAATCACAAGACGAACTGCCAACTCTTGAGCCACGATAGCCCCCGAACTCATAAAAAGATACCATGTCTTTGATTTCAGCAATAGAAAAATGTCATTCAGTTCTTTGTAATCTGTGTCTAACAGACAACAAGAAGGAGCTGGAGACTCTAGCAAAGAATCCAGAGTATGAAAATGACAGCCTGTCAAAACTAAGAACTAAAATTCTGCATGAGTTCAGCTCTCGGGATGAAGCCAGAGGGATCATTTTCATCAAAACACGACGCAGTGCCATTGCTCTAAATCAGTGGATACAGGAAAACCCCAAGTTTGCTGACATTGAAGTGAAATCAGCATATGTCATTGGAGGAGGAGACCAGAGTGTTGTTAAACCAATGACCTCGGTGAGTGCTACAGTTCCCTCAATTTTTCTGCACAATTATTTGCGCCTTACACTTAACCTTCACTTATAAATCTGTTTTAATCAGGCAGAGCAAAAGGATGTGTTGAAAAAATTTGGCAACGGTCAAGTCAACCTGCTGATTGCTACCACAGTAGCTGAGGAAGGCTTGGACATACCAGCCTGCAATTTCGTTATTCGATATGGCCTTGTGACAAACGAGATCGCTATGATTCAGGTCAGTAATGAGTTGAATAATGAGCATTGAATGTGGTATACCCAGTAATTGAAGGAATATTAGCCTGTGTAAAACAAACGTGGTTGCCTACCCTTCACTCACAATTGCCTTTCTCAGGCCCAAGGCAGAGGAAGAGCCGAGGACAGCAGTTACACGCTGGTCGAGGTGAAGAACTCCGGGGTGGCTGAAAAGGAGTGCGTCAATGAATACCGCAAGAAAATGATGAACAAAGCCATTCAGAAAATTAAATCCTTAAATCAGGCAGCCTATGAAAAAAGAGTACGTTTACTTCAGAATTTTTAGTCGTTGTTAAACTGAAAACCCACATGGCTTTGAGACTTTGTTTGTTTGTTTGTTCAGATCACCGAGTTTCAGATTCAGGCTATAATGGAAGAGAAAGTAAGAATGACGAAGAAGAAGCAGAAGGACATAAAGAACGAGAGCCCATCTAATGTGAAGTTTAGCTGCCGAAGCTGCAGCGAGCCAATCTGCACGGGCGACGACATCCAGATCATCGAAAACATGCACAGAGTCAATGTGACGCCACAATTTAGGTACAGTTTACGATTCAGCTCTTAACCTTTTGTATGTGTTGAACTGTATTCCACTCATGTAGTTGTGCTGTGATTATTATCAATTTTACTGCATCTTTTTACAGGAAACTTTACATTCAGAGAGAAAATACTACTCTTCAGGAGCGTCTTCTCGACTATGAGACCAACGGCTTCATTGCATGTAAAAACTGCGGACAGGTAGATTCAGTTTAGGTTTTTCAATTACTTGGAAATTCTCTTGTGAATCTTAAAAAGATAATCTTATTCAGAATGTTCAATTTAGTAGATAACTAAACACAGCATTGCTGCATTAACAAGGAGTCGTTCAGCATATGCACATACCTGATGCTTAAGCATAATTAGAAAAAAGTAGGACATTTATGACTCTTAGTCATAACCAATAAAGCTAGTTCTTCAAAGAGAAATGTGAGTCTGTCATATGACATAAGACTGCAGCCCTTTAATTTGAGATCACGTTTCACCACAAATTTAGATTACAGGACAAAAGGGCACAAAAGCAAGCCTTTATTTAGTCTTGGTTAGGCCTGCATTGAGCAGAATAAAATACTCATTATATGTTGTGTTGCATTCTGTTACAGAGATGGGGTTCAATGATGATGTACAAGGGGATCGAGTGCCCCTGCCTTGATGTGAAAAACTTTGTGGTGAATTTAAATGGAAAGAAGATAAGCAAATGCACCAAGTGGAATGAAGTCCCCATCAAGTTTTCTGCCTTCGACTACGCTGAACATGCAATCAACATGACCATGTCCGATAACTCGGATGATGACGAAACAATGTGAATTAAAACCACGTAGAATAACCAGCGACCGAGAAAGCCTTGATTTCTATTGCGTTGCCGTATGGCCGACACAGGATTAATAACCTTATCAGAGTAGTGAATGTTATATTTCCTTTGAATGTTTACTTGTTAACTGGAGAAATGAATGGTGATGGGACTGAAGTGTGTTCGTAAAGAAAAAGTGCGAATGTTTTACATCATTTTAATGGTTAAAGTATTATTGTGAAATGTGCAAAATTGCAGAATAAGGGTTTTACTCTTCAATTATGTTCGCATTTGATGGGATTTACTGTTGAAATAATGCATGATTACAGTGTATTAATTTCTATGTAAGGGTTTGTCACTGGTATTAAATGAACTGGAAAAGCAAAGCAAGAAAATAAAGTATATATATATATATATATTTTTTTTTTTTATTTTTATTTTTTTTTTTACCCTTTCAAACTCTGGCTGTCTCATGAGATGGGAGTCACCGAGTCTGTGATAGCCCCTCAGAGCCCACCTGTCACACACGCACACAAACAGGTGCTGTGGATTTTCCATTAAATCCACAGGTTAGTGAGTCACTACGATTGAGACAGCACTGCTATTCCTAAAAGCCTCTTTTAAGCTTGTTTGCGCAAACATATATATTACCTGCTTGATCACATTGTCTGGATATACAAGCAGGAAACTTGTTTGATCCAAAAGTATTACAAAACTGACTGCCCTTCTCATTTTTATCCCATTTGTCCTCTTTATGCTCATATTTAAATAATAAATCAACAACATTTGAAAAAAAATACTTCATTGTGTACCCTAAGTGAAAAGTCACGTAAATATTTTTTTTACACTTCATGGTTAAAGTATATTGATGTAGATACACAAAAAAAACCCTGCTTTTCCAGTTGTCCTGTTTTGTTGCGTGAATAGTTTACGCCCATGGTGAAAAAGCCACTTCCTAATACCAGCAACTTGTGCGCTCTTTCAAAGTTGGGCAGCAGACTTTGAGGAGGCATCTCTGTCGACTGGTCTCAGAAATGCAGCGAGGAGAGAAGGAAACCTTCGACTAAAGCGGGACGGAGCTCCGTTTTCTCATGCGGCTGCATTAGTTTAAAGTTACCTTTACAAGCGTACGGTTATGTTAACTAAGCTGCGTGTTCCAAGAAGTGACTGTAAACCTCACGCCAGCTGCCTTTGAGGAATATTTTAAAAAACCAAGAGCTTCACGGCGACTTCATCTGGACCATGGTCAGTAATCGATTTGCCATCAGTACTGGGGGGGAACAAAGAAAATCTGTGTAAAAGCATGGCTATTTACTGTGACAGTGTGAAGCTCACCGTGGGACTAATGAGTTACTAAAGGAGAGCCTGCAGCGTCAGCTTCTTGTTGTGTGCTTTCAGAGGATTTTTATAGGCTGCCACTTTTGTGTCACCTTTCGCAGGGCTGCAGTAACAAGGTGATGTGGGGGGTGATAGGGGCAGCTGTCGTCATCACGTTAATAACCATTCCAGCAGTTATTTACAACAGTAAGTTAGAGCCTTGGCCCGTGAGTCGCTTTTCTTTTCTTTCTTTTCAAAAAGCAACTACAGATGCTACTTCAAAGCAGACTTCTTTCTGTGTTTGCGCATTTCCTATTTGTTTGCTTTAGTCAAGCAACGAAGTTGTAAATGCGCAAAAAATGGTCGTCCCATATTTTGGAGTGTTGGTATCGTTACATGCAAGTTAAATAAATAATGCAGCACATGTGTATCATTTCAGAATCTGGTGGTAACAAAAGACCCTTTTCTCTTGATGACTACTTTAATGACACCTTTAAATGGAGAGCCTACAATTTGTATTGGATATCAGGTATCACAGTCAGTCACTTAACCTCTGCTATACCTTCTGATTTTGGTAGCATTAATCTCCACCATCGATACAAACTTCTTGGAAGCTTATCTATTATCCTTGTTCCTGCAGATAAGGAGTATTTGCATAAAGAAAGAGACGGGAATGTCTTTCTCCACAATGCTGAAACAAAGGAGGAGACGCTTTATTTGAGCAATTCAACCTTTGTAATATATTTGTACTTTAAAATATTTTCCTAATATATACTGTCACGCATGTTAAATACTATGTATATTAGTATGCGCTGAATTCTGCAACACATCCGTAAGTTCATGCAGTCATTTTTATTTCAGGCCCAAGTTGAAGCCACAGATTATTTGCTGTCAGGTGATTATAAATACATCGCCTTTGAAAGCAACTACACAAAGGTGAGGTGTTAAATTTCACCTAGTTACGTTTCTATCTTTATTTGTATTTTTGAAGAAAAAAAAACATTATTTTTTATTTTATTTTTTTATTTATTATTATTTCTATAATTCTGTTAATGAAAAACCTGCAAATGAAAGCGTCGTTAAAATCCTACAGAAATGGAGACACTCATTCAATGCCTCATATTCGATCTATGACAGGGAGAGTTCGTAAGTAGCTGTTTTTTGTGAGTTTTATTAATGAATTTTAGTTCCCACCCCAAATGTATCATCAGTAAAAATTTATTCATCAGTTGGTACATTACCATCACGCCTATATGTGTTCATATTTCATCGTAGAACTTTTGTCACGCCTGCAAATCTTCCACGTGTTGTGCAGTACTTTACCTGGGCACCAACCGGAAACAAATATGTAAGCGCTCACCATGTACTTTTTGTCTCCAGTGAATAATGTTACAAGTTGCAATTCGGTTTATCTGAATAAATATTTATTTATAATACTTGTGGCTTATTTCTGTTGCAATAAATGTGTAGCTGTATGTTTATGGTTGAAATCCACTTTTTTTCAGGCCTACATTTCAGACTTCAACATTTTTTTCAAATCCAATGTCAGTGCTGATGAAGCTGTGCAACTGACACACAATGGGAAAAAGAATGAGATCCTTAACGGTGTCCCTGACTGGGTGTATGAGGGTTAGTGACATTATTATTTATTTTTCAAAAGTGTGCATCTGTATGGGTTAATATTTTTCTCCAATAATTTCAGAGGAGGTGTTTGCATCGAATGGAGCAGTATGGTGGTCCTCAACCGGAAAGTTCTTGGCATATGCAGAGTTTAATAATACAGAAGTTCACAAAGTGGAGTTCTCTTGGTATGGATCTGAGCAATATCCTCAGACAGTGGCCATTCCATACCCAAAGGTGGGATTCTATAACTTTCAAACATGGAATTATGAGCAAAATATAACCTTCAATATCAATTTATCATTTTAAATTGTCAAAAATTGTCAGATCTCTTGTTATATATAATTATTTATCACAAATATTATATTTGTATTTGTATAGGCTGGATCACCCCTTACTGAGGTGAAACTTTTTGTTGTCGATACCACAAACCCATCCCACCGCACACAGGTGTTTGCGCCCGCTTCTGTTTCTTCTGGGTCTGTACATTATTTAGCACATGTGTAATCATTTACCGGAAAATGCGATGCCTTCATGGTCTGTCTTATGTGAAAACCTTTTCTCCTTCTGTCGCGTTTACTCAGTGATCACATCTTGTGCTCGGTGACCTGGGTTACAGATATACGCGTTGCAGTGCAGTGGCTCACAAGAAGACAGAATTATGTGGTTGTACAGATCTATGATTTTGATGGAAGTCGCTGGACAGAAAAACAGGTAGCTGTGACTTCTCTGCTGAGGAAATCGTCTTGATAGCCATGCTCTGCTAATTATCTGCAACTGATGTCTTTACTATCTATAGAAATTCGAGCAAACAAGCAAGACTGGATGGGTGGGCCATGTAAGTTTCCAAAAGATTACTGATATAGTTCTTTAAAACCTTACTTTAATGTATCACTATAATGTATTACTTTGTTTTTTTCCTTAGTACGTGCCCTTGCCTCTTTTCTTTGCTGAAGATAAGCTCAGTTTCTACAAAGTGATGAGTGACACTAATGGCTACAAACACATTCATTATGTGAAAGATGTAAGTGTTGCCAGTTTTCTTTATGCAGAATGTGTTGCACAGTCATATCAATCATGTGTTTAGATTTTAGTGACTTACTAAAGGAAGCTCTTTAATTAAGGGCAAAGCAACCCCTGTTACCTCTGGGAAGTGGGAAGTTATCTACATAAGCAAATTAACCAAAGATGCCATGTGAGTGATGAATCCATACGTTTATGGGAAAACTGCATAAATCTTAAAAATGTAAGTAAGAATATAAAGACCTGGTGTGTGAAATTTCTTTCTACAGATATTTTGTTAGTAATGAACATGGAGGAATACCTGTACAGAGAAACCTCTACAAGTAAGGAATTATTCTCACCTGTCCTCTTTTTTTTACCAGTTAAAATCTATATGTAAATAATTATACAGGTGACGTGCTGTTTTTTTCATCAGGGTTATGATTGGAAGCAGCCCTTCTGCCCCCCAGTGTCTCACCTGCAACCTGCATAAGGACAGGTGTCAGTACAACTCAGGTTACTTCAGCTTTGACGCCTCTTACTACCGAATGGACTGCTACGGTCAGTTACCCATTCACATTTTCTCTTACTGTAAGCAATAACTCACCGATTTGGGGTAGTGAACATCTGTGAACACTAATCCTTGCTGAAGGCATGCAGACAATTTGATGTGTAATCCACTTCTATTTGTGTGTATCCTGTTTTGTTTTTTTCTTTAACCAGGACCTGGATTCCCCCTGTACACACTCATGGACAGCAAGGGCTCAGGTGCAGATTCATATAACCCAAACACATTGTTAAATGACTCATTGCACTCACATGGTATACTATTAAAGGATAAGGCTACTGTTTTTGAAGGTGGTCAAATAAGAAGAACCCAGTAAATATTCCAGCAGAATTTTCTTGCTGTAGTTATTCCTTCTGTCCATACAAGCCATTCATATTTTGTGCTTCCAATGGAATTGATATGGGATCAGATCTCAAGGTAAAAGCGAGGCTTTAATAGTCCAGACAGATTTTAAGTATTTAAGATCTCTGTGTTTTTATCTGCATTTGAAAACATTCTATAAAAAGTAGTTAATTTGGTACTGAAAAAGCTGATAGCTGAAAGCTGAAAAGAACATTTTTAAAGCCCTTTGATTTGATACGTTGTACCACTGAAAGCATATATGTAACTTCACATTAACTTTAGGGTGCAATAAATTTGTAAACCAGCACTAGGTGCTGTTTTGGTTTCATACAGCCAGTAGATCGAATACAGTGGCCAAGGTTCAAGTACTTTTGGCTGCTCTTTTACTTCCCAAGGATTCATGGAAGTAGATGGATCCACATATTTGATTAGACACAGATTTTACACCGGATTCCCTTCCTGACATAATCCTCCCATTTATCGAGGCTTGGGACCAGAACTGGGAGTAAATGGTAAATGGTAAATGGCCTGTATTTGTATAGCGCTTTTACTAGTCCCGCCTAGGGACCCCAAAGCGCTTTACACACCCAGTCATCCACCCATTCACACACACATTCACATGTTTGTTTTATGGACACAACATTGCAGCTACTTTATTTATTTATTTGTTTTCAGAGCTTGCCGTTCTTCAAGACAATAAGGACCTG